CTCAATGTGTTAGAAATCAATTTTGGACGAGTTTCCCGTAGGCATCTTACCAATCACCGCTACCGAAGATACGGCTGCATATGTGTACTCATATATCCATGCAGCATCACGGCCGCTTCATACCAATCCCTTCGCTTCATAATTTGCTTAGCAAATGAATGAATACGAGCGTCAGGAACGGTCGTCCATTTGTGGGCGGGCGGGCGTGGCGGGCGTTTGGGACGTAAAGTTGTGGCTTGATAGGGCCCTTATAACCCTCGGGGAAACCGCTATGCAGCGCCTGCCCAGGGTCGCGGAATTCTATCCTGCCAGGAGTATTGATCCTAGTCGTCTTGGGGGATTTATCGTGCCAACTGCCTTTAAAGGATGACTTGATTCGATGTGATTTGCCTTTGCAAGCTTTGAGAAAGCCGGTCCATCCCGAAACGCTATCCCGTTGCAACAGTTGAGATTCTCCGCAAATCTGGTCATTGTGGAATGTGCCCCCACGAGGGTAAAAGGATCTCATGGTTGGGCCTACTACTTGGGGACGATCCTGAAAACGACGACAGAATACTTTACCACTACGATAATTTATGCTACATTTATACACATTTACATATCCGTATAAATTTCATTTTGAAACAAAAAAAATCGTGCATTCACAAGAGTCAAACAGCAATTAAAAAATTAGAGAATAAAATATAGTCGTCATCAAATTAGTGTCGAATCTCAATCACTAACACTACTAGCAAATCACATATGGTGGAATGTATTGGATCTTCTAATTATAGCTCACATGCGATTTGCTCACTACATCACTGTTACTGTTTCTCAGGCAGCATTCAGATTTCGCGATGACGCGCGTTACTGCGCTGTATCGCGCGTCAAAGCGCGTTATCGCGAAGTCTGAAAGCTGCATTGGGGGTCAATTGGTAATCTTCGCTCAGCATCTGTTTCAAAGGGCGTTAAGCATGAGAGGAAGGAATCTATCGATAACTCTAGCTAGTAGAACCGCTCTAGAGGCTCTGCATTACTGTAAAACTTAGTAATTACAAATATTAATTACGAGACACAATGTTCAAGCACATCTAATTACGGTAAGTAAAGGGCATATCACAATCACTGGTATATATTTCATCTGACGGCTACGTTAAGCTTGGTTAATCTATTTCTTATCGACAAAATCTAAATTAACTTTGAAGAACACGTATGGATAGTACTCATTTACTCCCAGTGACATCAACGCTGGCGAATCTTCCAACGTCTGAAAATTGTTGTTGTTACAAATAACAACACAGAAAGGACTGCAAGAAAAGGGTAGGGCATTATTTCCCTCTCTTGTTGTGCTCGTTAAAGTTTATGCCAGATTTTGATCCAACTGTTCCCTAGGAGCAGAGCTGGCAGGGATTCGGGTCACCTTAGCGTGAAACATGGACCTGTTTGTTTGCTGTTTGATGTTCTGAATTCTGATTACGAAACAGCAAACGCGACAGGCGCCCGTCGCCAAAACACTCGTAAAGCGCCAATCAGTGAATATGCCCGGCGACATCACAAGAAATGAATGAATTGATAGACCTCGCTGACAGGGCGCTATCCATTACGCCACCCAAGCCCCTTACCCTCTCAGCTCAACGGTTTTTGTGCCGTAGTCGACTCATCACGTTAAACGTGTGGGTGCTGTAAGGTAGGCAGCTGACAGCGGGCAATCCTGACCTACAGAGCCAAATTGCTTAAGGTTCAGAAATTCCTTACTAGTACTTTAGTATTATGGAAAAAGAAAGGAAGGAAAGTGGCTGTATAACCGACACCATTAGGCTTTGATTAGTGAACCTACATCGATTGGTCCGGCAGCTGATCCGTCTAGATGAATGTACAATCTTCTGGGACCCTTTGGTTGGTTCAACGAGGGCAGCTTGGAAATTGACCGGTAAACCGTACCTGCAAGTCAGTCCATTAAATTTGGATTCACACTTAAACAGTACCGTAGGATCATGAGCTCAAAAATACGAAATTCCCTTGCAAGGTACATCTTTCCAGTGGGTACGAACCCCTCAAAATTTCATCCTCAGCCAGTCGTTTTCGCCCCAGAAGCTGGGGCGTGCCACGCAGGCTCAGTTTGGCGCGGCACCAGCCCATTCTTTATCAATTGTTGAAGAGTGCAAGCGACAACAATCGGTAGAAAACGGACTGGCACTGCGCCAAACCTAGCCCCTGACACGCCTCCGCGTCTACACGTAAAAGACTGTAACCAGAAAAATCACAACAGAAACCTACCGCAGGACAGATTCCACAAACACTCGCAGGGCTTTGACGTGGATGTAAGCGGCGAAGATCTCACCAAAGTTGATTTTCAGCCATCTAAACGTTCCATAACAAGACTGTTAGTAATCTGCAGTGAATAGAAGGAAGATGCAAATGTTCTGTGACCCAACCTTATCAGAGGAGCGTACTGTCGCTGTTTTTCAGCTACCAGTTTGTCACGTTCACTCTTGCCTGCCTTCAGTGATTCCTCATCGTACACAAAGTCACGCACGACAAACCTAAATTCTAGCCGATCTTTATATACTACACTAATTCTAAGACCGCGTTCGGACTTCGCAATCGGATCGCTCGAGCGACTGGATCGCGCGACCACGACCGGGCGCTTCCATCGCCAAACGGTGCACCGCAGCAACAGTACAATTCAAACTGGCACTTTTGAACGCGACACAGTTTGAATTCGGCCGTTACGGTGGTGCACCGCATGGCGCTGAAGCTCCCTTGGTCGTGATCGTGCGATCTAATCGCTCGAGCGATCCAATCGCGAAGTCTGAACGCAGTCTTACATCAGAAACTCACTTGTTTTCTCTGGCAATAGTCTTGAACTCATCAATGACTTTTTTGAAAAGTGTAACGGAGTAGAGAGCATGTTCGCCTTCTTCAGTGATGAGTTGCGTTGAACCTGGCACCACCATCGACGTGAACGTCGAATATCGTGCAAGCCAGTCTTTCGCGTTTAACCTGGTGAAAATAGGAAATCGAAAATGGTCATTTTCATTAGGCTATTATAGTGCTGGTGGCGGTGATGGGCGTGTCAGTAAGGCTGGGTACGGCGCGCCGCCAGTCCTTTCTCTTCCAGTTGTTATGCAGGTGAGCGACGACATTTACGGCTGATACGAACGATATGATACGGATTTGACGCCAGAAACGACGACGAAGAAAAAAAATGGGCTGGCGTGGCGCCAAACCTCTCCCCCTTGACACGCCCAAGCATCCGCAGTGAACAAGACTACACTTACTTAGGCACAACAACCATAAGTGTTTGCAGATATTCCGAGTAATGCTCTTCCGATCTATATTCCGAGTTGAGAACAAAGTCTTCAGCTTTGACAATATCAGCAAGGTCCTTCGTTATTAACGATCCACTGAAAAGAATAAGAATAAAAATGGTAATTTTATCAGCAGTAGCAGACTCTTAATGCCCATAAAAACATCAACACTAACTGGAAACCTACTCGTAATCTAAACCACAAATCAGAGTGGTTCTAAAAAGGGATAAACCAGATTGTTGAGATCGGGCAAATGTAGCTTGAAGGTGCCACACAGCCAGGCTCTGCTTCTGCCCTCTAGCACCTAGGCCGCGGCAGTGTAACATTAATTCGTGCCTCACACACGCGATTCGCTTGGAGGTTGCGATCGGAATCAGCCTCAAACGCTCGCATGCGCGATCAAAATCTGACTGGTCCAACCATGATGACAAAGGGCAAGTTGAAGCGGCCAAAAAACTTTCATTTTCCAGCCACTGGACGAGATTGTTGCCGTACGAGTTCCCGCCGGCTTTTGAAGCAGCAACGCCCTATGTAAATACAGCATATACGTTTTTATTGTTCAATACCCATGCCGAGCACGCTTTCGTATAAAAGTTGTACTTCATAGATGCGAAGACCAGCAGCAGTGACTGAGCGCGGCCATTTGTGGGTGGGCAGTTGCGATAGGCGTCTGGGTCGGCATATTGCAACTTAGTTAGGCGCTATAAGTGTAACCTTAGTTGGAGAAGGCACTATGCAGCCCATGCTGAGGGCACTACTTCTTCAAGCTTGGCGTATTGACACTGTACGCTTTTGTCGCACCCGCGCCACTTTCTCTAAATTTCCATTTGCGGCGATGGGCGAAGAATGGAGCTGCAGGCGGGGTGACGCGAAGCATTTGCATCAGGACCCAACCCACTCAACACGGAAGGGCCACTGCGCGTCGACTTCATCTCCCAAGCCAGTGCTCATACTCCGTGACATGGGAAATAAGTAGCTCCACCCAACTGCGACGAGCGCTCTAACATGGGCCTTGATTAGGAGAGGGACATATACGCGGCGCAACGCGGCACTCTTGAAGTACTCGTGCACCTTATTTACACACATACCTGTAACGGGCACTGGAATAAACAAAATTTCAGTTACAGTGTTGTTGTTCGTTGTTGAGTTGCAGAAGCGTTCAGGTGGGGCTTGGGGGCTGGTATGGCACGACTAGAGCCAGTTTCCCAACAACGCTTCCACAAGAAGAAGAAAAAGCTGCCTCCGCGCCAAAACCCACCCCTGGAACGCGCCAGCTCTCGCAACAATAAGCGATGTACGATAAACTATTCCCACCGAGCACCATCACGAGCTTAAGTGCTGTTGCACGATGTTCCCTACTTAGCCTGAAATTGCTAGTAGGCGCTGAGTAGGGGACAATGTGCGAATAAGAACGGAGTGAAATTGGTCAAATCATGCGAAAGAAACAAGCCTCCGTCCAGTGACTTGTAATCGATTTCGGACGAGTTTCCCGTAGGCATCTTACCAATCACCGCTACCGAAGATACGGCTGCATATGTGTACCCATATATGCATGCAGCATCACGGCCGCTTCATACCAATCCTTCGCTTCATAATTTGCTTAGCAAATGAATGTACAGCGTCAGAACGGTCGTCCATTTGTGGGCGGGCCGGCGTGGCGGGCGTTTGGGACGTAAAGTTGTGGCTTGATAGGGCCCTTATAAGGGCACCTCCCTCGGGGAAACCGCTATGCAGCGCCTGCCCAGGGTCGCGGAATTCTATCCTGCCAGGAGTATTGATCCTAGTCGTCTTGGGAGATTTATCGTGCCAACTGCCTTTAATCAAAAAACTCCTATCCCTAAACGTTTGTTCGCAGTGCCCCTACCCCTCCATCCATTTCCTTTCCATAAAATAAGGTGTTTGCAGTGGTTCCTGTGCTCTGCACTAAAACGCCCACCTTGTTTGAACAACGTCTGCAACGTATCAATAAATACACCCATCATCAATGTATGTATATGCTTAATTGACATTCTACCCTATGGAAACCACTGAAAGCCACTCACGTCGTTTTCCTATCGATCGAGGCCAAACTATTCTTCAAATTATTATAGGCTAGCGATTTCTGCTTCAAATCATTATCGATTTGCGTCACTTGCTGAAAATTAACTAAGAGATTATTCAACAAAACCAGTATACAGAGCCAAAGAAACATCAAAATTTCAGAAAAGCAATGGGATAAAACCCCGCTCACCTTTCCGATAATCTCGCTAAGTACTTTGAGTGATTGCTTGAGCGGATACTTGGCACCTTCCCATTGAAACTTTGTTACATATGTCTTGATGTCCTCTAAACAATAACATCAGAAAGACAGAAACTAGGAGCGGATTGTGGGTGGGGGACATCACATGCACGTGGAGGACCAGATTGACTCTAAAACTAGCGTCACATGCGCGACAGATGCACCAGGGAACCTCATGCTTTGGGAAATCCCCAGGGGGGGGGGGACGTTGGGTCGTATTTGACCTCTGAGCGAAATTTTCCTAGTAGCCAAAAATTCCACGGTTTTCGAATTTTCAGAGTGTCATCGTTTCATCTGTCAATTGTGTTACATAACTCCCTATCCCACGCTCGACGGCAGATCTTCGAGGGGAAAAACCGGAAAATTTTCAGAAGTTTCCAAGAAAAGAGGTAAGTGGTTGGGAGAACATAGGAGTATTGCACGTAGCATGGGGAAAGGGCTTGTATCAGAGGAAGCATTTCATCGTGGGACACGGCTGGTCGCCGTGCCGGTGGTTAACGACGTCGCAGCCGTTGCGTACGAGTTGTTTTGTCTCCTGGTTTGTTAAGACTGTAGAAAGATAACGGATGGAGGGTCCGCCAACGAAATGCTGGTCGAGGACTCCTTGAACGAACACGAATCTTTCGCTCTAGC